TACATGCCATTTTTCACACCGTCTACGACAGCAGCATTATAAATATAAATATGTATATTTATATATTTATATGTATATAACTCATCAACGGCAGCTGAGCGAAAACTAATTATCACCCCGTTAAACTCTTGGCTATCAATTTCAATAATTGGAATTTTCCACTGAGCTGAGGAGCAGAAAAAACAGCTTGAAACAACATAACAAAACAACCACAACTGTTATAATGCTGGAAAAGCTTAATAGTTGCCATAAAGAAAAACGCGTGCAAAAAAAAAAACTTATATTTAAAAAAGAGTAATCCGCAAGCTATTAAATTCTTATTTCGTAGAATGAAATTTCAAACTAAAAGCATTTGCGCCTGCGAGCGATGAAAGAAGTAGAAGATTTCTGGCCGGGAGAGGGGCAGGGCGACGTCAATTATGAGCCGGGTGGAGTGTTATATTATAGAAGGTGCCGTTAGTTGGAGACGATGTTGTCTGCGCTGGCAACTAACCAATTAGCAGCTTATTAGAATGCACACCAAAAAGTAATCCTTTGCAACAACAATTTGTAGACTTAAAATATTAAATTGCTAAAACTTAAAAACAGATTTCTCAGCAGAAAAAAAGAGGAGACAAAAAAAAACTTGCTCAACAGCCAGTTAGCCAGTCAGCCAGTCAGCCGGGTGGCCACAAGGAACTTGGCCAGCCAGCCAAGCAGGAGCTGGTGGAGTCCGGATGAGAGGAGGGTGCTCGGCATGGGGACACCGGCCAGGGGGGGAAGGGGGGGGGAGGTGCAGGGTTAGACGAAGCGACGCAATTGCAGACGAGACGCTGCCCTCGAGCTCTGCTCGGGTGAGTAAGTGGCCAAGGCACGAACCTGTGGCCATGTTTGCCATTAGGTTTTTTTTTGTGTGTGAGCCCGTTTGGTCTTTGGAACTGGAACTGGAACCATCGCCGTTCGCTTCAAGCGTAAAAAGTTAAACTTGAAAATTCTCTTCGAGTTGCCTTCTTGGAAATTGGCCCTGGACGCGGACATGGACATGAACAACAGCGCCAGGCCAGGCCAAGCGAATAAAGCGTAGACGCAGTCCATGGAATTGAAGTTGGAGCTGGAGTGCTGGGTAATGGCAGAGACCCGTTAAAAGTACTCCTTCGTCTGCGTCTAATACACGCCCGACTTGCCAAAACAAATTATAAGCCAAAGACATTCCTATGATTATAATGCCGTCTGCTGTCTGCTGTCTGTTGTGATGCAACTGAGGACGGGTTAGAAGCGGCGGGATATTTGAGACGTGCAGATGTTGTGTTCAAGTTGAACAGCCTAAAATTAGTTAGACTTTTCCGTTTCCTACGAAAAGAATATATTATGGAAATTCTAATGTACTCTAAATATTCTAAGTGAAATGTTGCCTTAAGAAATGTGTGTTATCCTTTGCCAAGTCCGCAGGAGTATCAAAGTTTTGCTATTACTAACACCAATAAATTAACGTATATGTTAATTAACATTACACTCGATGTTAATTTGCCAAACCACCTTTTAAAGTAGTAAAGCCCTTTACATTTTTACATATTGCTCTCTCTTATTGACAAACAGCCTTAAGTTATAAATTGTATAGTCCTTTTACTTGGGTTTTATGATTTGGCTTGTTATTTTATATTTATCATCTGATCTGATCTACTTATACTTCTTGACTTTTACTGTACACATTATTTGTTATTTAACTTAGAACATCATATTCATATGTGACTTGTATGATTGCTGCTGCTCTAAAGATCAGAGACAAAGAAAATTAAAGTCCCATTGATGTCACTATCTATGCCTAATTTGTATGTTGCCAACACAGACTTCATGTATGCCAGACTCTGACTTTAGTATGCGTGTTGACAAAGCGACTTAATTACTCTATATACACAGGCACACAGACGCATACTCATAATAAACTACAGTGCTGTGCAAAAGTATGCAACTATGAATGCGATTTGGTTAGTGTTGGGCATTGCCCGAAAGGATAAACCAATTAAACTGAGTCCAAAACCCAGAGAGACACGACTGTCTGACAATTCAAACAACAGAATTCAACTAACCAACAATGAAAACCTCAAAAATCCTGCTGCCGGCAATATCTAGTGCCATGACTACAAAATACAGGACACCCTCCTGCCCAGTTGCCCAACCAAAGCCTGACAGTTCCTGTGAGCTGTGCCAGAATTGAAAGTTGTTGGGTTGGCATGACTGCATATTTCGACATTTATGTGGTCGTCATTGGGTGTCGTTTGTGTCGTTGATTTCTTGCTTAAGCGTCGCGCGATTCAATTTCAAATCCTGAACACATTTCCACGAGTGGCTGACTACAGGATGCCCAGAGACCAGGGCACGAGAGTTGAGGTTTGAGGGTTGCGGATCGAGGGTAGAGAGTTGGGCACCAAACCGGGCAGCTAACAATGTTATCTCGTAATTTTACACGTCGATGATTTCAGGCGAATGAGTTTGATTCGATTGTCTCAAGTTTTTTGCAATTGTTGGAAGCACCAATCCACAGAAAGGATGCGCCACAAACTACAACAACAACAGTTACAACTACAACAATGTGGTGCACGCTGGTGACGACGCCTTTGACATGCTTTTGACAGCCAAACACCGCCCGCTGCGCCCCAATCAAAGCACCCAGAACTCGCAGTAGTCGCAGCAGTGGCAGCAGAAGGACATCTGGCTGCTGCCGTGACAGGCAACACAAGGCAACCCCCATGTTGCATGTTGCCACTGTCCCGCGCCGGGTCTCAACAGACTCGAGACCTACTACTCCACGCCCCTTGAAACTCGGCAGCTCGTCGTGTGCTGCTGCAATAAATTGTTCAAATGCAAGAGCCCAAATGCTTAGACTATTGGAAAAAGGGTTTCATCTAGCGCCAGCCAAAAAACCCAAAATACAGTCCCGCCAACACCTGCCCTGCCCTGCCCCGCTCTGCCCTGCCCACAAGTTAGCCCCCAAAAAATTGTTAGACGGTATTTGAATGACATGCAGAGTTGTCGCCCCGTTCGAAGCTTGCTGCAAATAATTTCAAATGTTTCTCTCGCTTTTTTGTTCAGCTGTAAAATTAACAGAGATAAGGCACAAAAAAAAGCTAAATGTGTGAAGACAGAAGAAGCTTATTTATTTTTATTATTATTGAGTAAAAGTCATCAAATCCGCTTGAAAATTACTCTTCCAAGAAACTTTTCTTAGTTTCATACAGAAAAATTGAAAAGAAAATAATGATTAATGAGATATAAAACCATTATTAAAATAATTAAAATAACATAGATCAATTATTTAGATTTCTGAAAATTAATTCAAGAAACATTGAAGAAATGTATAGATCAAATAGTTTAGATTAAAGAGTATTCTGATGAAAGGAAAGGAATAATATGAAAGAAATAAAACGGTTTAATAATATATAACAGTTGTTAGAAGGAATACATATATTTGAATTTATTCCATCTATACAGATATATATAAACCTAGAAAGAAAATATTCGCATTGGTTAACATCTCAAATCCTAAAGTACAACCAATTTTAAGTACTAGCCAGAATATAGGCCTCTTAACGCTAGTACCCCGTTATAATCGATGGCAAATCTAGCCGAAAAACAGCTAAAAATATCAGCACAACTGCTTAGCTAACGTGTCCATGCGCGTCCTTTCATTGTCGTGGTAATCAAATAAAAATCAATGGCTTGTGAAATTCAAATTGTGACTGCGACGAGTGCGCGGAGTGCGATTCGCGGTGGAGACTTTGTCTAAAATTCTCTAAAAAAAAACAGAAAAGAGAACCCTTGTCCCATGCCCCGCCGCTCACACCACACGGCTGTGAAACTCATTTCTTGGAGTGCTTCAAGGCGAACGCGTCTGCATCACGTGCCCAATTCTCATTTGCCGTTAGCATTCGAAATCGTTGAAGTTAATGATCTGATGCAGTCTGGCACACAACTATCTATAAGCCCTTAGCCCGGCCAACTAAATCAACTGTCATTAGAGTCACTTTGACGGCGCCCAGCTGGCCAAAAGTCAGCGGTGGGTTGCGAAGGGAGAGAGGTGTGTGGGTAGAGGGTCTGTGCCGGGGACTGAAACAAGTTGAAAGTTTTATCCAAGTCTGTGCATAAATTAATTCTTAAATAGCAATACGATTTCAAGTGGTTCGCTTTGGTGTGATGGTTAATTATTTGGGCTGGCGTTGCTTACGTTCAAATGATCAGAAATGTTCGAACAATTGCAATTACTTTATAAGACATGGGCGTGGCATTAAAATAGCAGAATGTTAGCTGTTTGTGGTTAGTGAAGAATTTAGAGGGAAGGCTATTCTTGTGTAAATCTAATAATAAGATATAGAATAGGATATTACTATTGTTAGTTCTTTTTAGAATACACTGCTTTTCAGCTTACATTCACTTTGCAAGCAACTTGCCTTATTTACTCAATGTAAGTTAGACCTGTTATACAAGCTCTTTCTCTCCCTCTTTACTATACTATAACATACACTTTACAATCAACTTACTTTGTTAGGTACTCACCTTACCTAGAAACACACCCCCTGCTTTCTTTTTTAACTTTTCCTCTCTGTCTCTGCCTTATGAGACATGAACTTTATCGCGGGCTTCTTTTGAAATAAATAGAAAAATTCAAATAAAAGCTCTCATGCTCATGTTAGTTCCTCCGGTCAATTTATTTGTGACAAGGCACAGGCACACGCTCGTTTTGTCACTTTAAAGGAAAAGGAATTAGAATTGTTTGGGATTTAAATACCAACCCCCGCATCGCTGACACTTTTTATCAATTTGGTGTTTCCTTCCGGCTAAGCCCATTTCCTTAGAAACAAACAAGAAATTAACTTCATATGTTTGGGGCAGCGATGCGCAAAGCTAAACCACAGCAACGCTAAGCAATACCCTCGGCAGCTGTGCGCATTCCCCAGCGGCGTTCAGTGCCCATCCAACCACCGAACCACCCAACCACCGAACCACGGAACCACCTGCAGCTACACTTTTTAGCCCTCCTTCAGGCAGTTCACATTTCTTTAACAATTTATTTTTTATTAAATGACAAATACTTGGCCATAGCTCACGCTGCAGGCGAACGTTGACATTTGCTGGTGTGGGGGGTGTGCGTTTCGGGTATTAGCTTACAATCCACCAACCCACGCCACCAACCAACCCATCCCCTCTCCCTTGCCAAGGGCAGCGATTGTCACCCTCTCTGCCCGTCAACCCAACTAAGCCGTGTGTAATAATTATGCTAACGACTGTCAATTGCGATGGGGGGAGCTGCTGGCGCGGGGTGCACGGGGCTATTGTAAATTGAATAGAACAGTGATACGAACCGCAAGATAAAGCCAAGATCCCAAACGTCTTGGAAGGGTTGCGCCTTTTCCCTTTACCCTCTACTCCTTTGTCCTTTTTTGGCTTTGTCTCAAACCAAAAACGCGCGCGGCGCTTTCCCAAGACGTGCCTGGCGATAGTTTTGCCGCCCCTCGGAACGCATAGACCTCAAATCACAGCCCTTTTATTTGGAAATTAAGCTTGCTTTGGCTTTTCACAGTCAATTGACTTTTGAGCAAACTTACCCCCCTCGTACACACATATTGAGCCTCAGCCCCTGCCCCAAAACGATTGCAACAGTTATTTGCTTGTTGTCAACTTTTCGCACACACACACAAAATCAACGGGTTGCTGAACATGTATTCGAATTGGAATTGGAAGTGGAACGAATCGGTAACTTCCATTAGTTGCAGGCACATTCGAGAGCAGCCCGAATCTTGGAGTCCATTTTTAAATCCGACTCCAACTCTAACTTTGATTCCATCTCGCGCTTGAGTTGCGAGCTCAGTTCCGTTTCTGTCTGCTCGAGCTGTTTATGGCTTGACTCTTTGCCCTTCTGCTGGCCACATTTTAAGTGTTTTGTTCTGGTTGTTGTTGCTGTTGACGCATCGCTGTCTGCGCCTTTGAAGAAACTGCCGCGGCCACGCCGGTCTGCCGGTCCATCAACCCCCTCTTGGCCCATTCGGTAGCAACTTTGCATTAAGATTATGTAAATTTTTGGCACTCAGCGTGAAAAAAAACACTTGAAAATGCGCGTGTTTCTGGCAGTTTTCAAGACCAAAAGCCCCCAGACTTTAGCAAATATAGAAAAAATGAAAATTTCGAATGCTTTGACGTCTTAAAATTTACCAGGGAAAATGACTTTAAGTTTATGCCATAAGTAAAATTCGTTCTAATAATTAATAAAACCTACCTGCATAAGGTAAACGCGAACGTCAAGCCCTAAAGTTTTAATTAAAATAATAAAATTAATGTGAGCACAAAGTTTTTGGGTACCTACTGTGAAAAGCTGAGCTTACTGACTTTAATGTTTAGTCGCTCATCAGTTATTCAATTAGTGAGACAATCAACAGTCGGTCCGTCCTTCAGTCCATCAATCAGTCAGTTAATAAGAATGTGAATCAACTATAAGCCGTAAGTCAGACAGCAAATCAGCCAATTAGTCAGTGGATAAATGAATTCACTCATTTAGTAAATTAGTCCATCATTAGTCCATCAATCAGTCAGTCTATCAATTAGTCAATTAGGAAGTCAATCAAAAATCAACAATCAGCCAGTCCATCAATTATTGAATAAACAGTCAATCAATCAGTCAGTCGTTCTATCAGTAAGTCAGTCAATCAGACATTCGGCCAATCAGTTAGTCACTCAATTCGACAGTCAATGAGTCATTCTATGATTCAGTCAGTCAATCAGTGTATCAGTTAGTTAATAATTCCATCAAACAATTAGTCGCTCAATCCGGCAGTCTGTTAATCAGACACTTAAACAGTCAGTCAAATAGTCAATCTGTCTTTCGATCAGTGAATCAGTCACCCAGTTAGAAAGGACAAACATTATCATTTATTTCTATCCAGTATACCAAATTGTGAATATTTTTTGTTGTGCCAACATTTAAATATTCAATAAATAAATTTGAACAGCTTTTGTCTGCAACTTATCACGAAGACTTTAAATACTTTTCCCGCAAATTGCTTTACATTCATAGCATACACAATATACTTAAAAATCATTTTTCTCTCTATTAATTAAAACTGCCAGCCAAAGGTAAAAGTCAAAGTCAATGTCAAACCCTGAAGTTCCAGTCCCAAAAAAGAAAGGAAACGAAAAAAAAAAAACACAGTGTAAAGGAACCCTTTCGTTGTTCGTTTTTAAGTTTTGTGCGTTTAATTTGCTGTCATTTTCACTTTTCCTTGCTGGTCGCTTACATTTATCAGCATCGGCCAGTCAGGTCCCAGCTCATGCTGCTCGCAATGAAAAAACTGGCCTTTGTCAACACTGTCAGGCACTCACACACTCACACCCTCAAACAGGCACACACGAACACACACCCAAAGCTAAGACTGGAAAAAGTTTTGTACCTCTGCCAACTGTAAGTAAAATGTTTGGTCATAGTTTTCTCTTGTTTCTAACCCTTCACTTCAGGCGGGAGCAGGAGCAAGTCCTGCCCACCAACCAGGAACAAGCATAAGGAAATTTATTTGTTGCCCGCACGGCCCATGACATGAGTGTAAGTAACTCAGACGGGCAGAGCCAGACATGTTAGGGCGAAGAGAAGGGTGCTCGGTCCAAAATAGTTGCAACATTTCAGCAATTATATTTATAGAGCATGTGCGAGTGTGTGTGTGTGTGTGTGCGTGTGTGTGTGTGTGAGGGGACACGCTCTCGACAAGTTGTGTGAGGGCAATCAAAAATTAGCCACTGCCTATGCCAAAAAGTTTATGTCTTGAGCGAGGGGGGAGCTTGGAGAGTTTATAGTGCGTACCCAAGTAAATGTTGCGACCAAGAAAAGGGCAAAGAGAACGTTTCTAGCCAGAAACTCAGAAATTTAAGTATTTTCCAAGGTAGAACATATTAGAAATCAGAAATCAGATCAACAGAAACAACAGAACAGAAATATTTGCTATGTCCATAAAGTTAAATTAAGAAAGTAATAGTAATATCATCAATATAATATAATAACAACTTTAACAAGCTTTAACAACTCAGCAAAACACTCTGAAACCTGGTCAAGATAGAAGGCATAAAAGTTAAGAAAACTTAATACAAATTATATAAACTTCTACTTAACCAAATTATATTATATCAAAAAAATCAGACTAGAGTTAACCAACAAATCTTCAACTGAGAGGCATCCACTCTCTTTGAGAACCTACTACTACTATTTAGGCTCTTTGCGCTCGCTTCAAACTTGCTCAAAGCTAAATTTACAAAGAATTTGAGAATATGTTAAAGGCTTCTGCGAAAAATGCTGGAAATCTTAAAAAAATAATTTTTAAAAAAATCTTTAAGCTGGCATAGAATGAAAATTAAAGACTCAAGACTACCATTCCCTCGAGTGCTCAAAAATTTAGCACAAAATTCAGAGCCAGCTTAAAACATAAGAAAAATTCTATGCCAATTGTTCCGTTTTTTCTGTTTTGAGTGTGCATTGCATCCTTTGTCTTTCAAGTAATCCCCCAAGAGCTGGCAGCCAAAATATGCAAAATGAACTAGTTCTTATGGATGTCACCGTATTTTGTCTAACCCATTTGCACTCTCCACTCGCTAATGCACTGTGCCCGAGCCCGAAACTGGGCTTAGCTCCAAGCCAGCCACAGAAGACTTTGACTTTAGCACGTGCCGCTGCCACTGACAAAGTTGTGCGAGTGACAGGCTGACAGCCCAGTCAAAACTACCCACACAGACGGTGGCAACGGTGGCAACACCACGACTCGCAACCAGTCCAAATGCTACTTAACACTCTTTCAAAAAAAAAAAATAAATCTGAAAACGGGGGTATTTGAGACAAGCAGAAGCTTCAATACCCTATAGAAACATGCAATCGCTGAGGTTGGTCAAGATATCTTGTAAAACAGAAAAGTTAAACATATACAAGCTGTTTTTTCAAGAGAGTCTGCCATTAGCATATACTAATCTGTTTTGTGTGGATAAGGGAGAATTATGATAATTTGAAGACAGTTATATGATATGGAGGTCCGATGATGATCAGATTTTCTCATAAGTACAAGTTTGGTCAAGAAATCTTGTAAACAATTTTTGCACCTCAAAATTTATGTTTCCACTGATGATGAATATTATAAGATGTCATGTCATGCATGAGCTTATATTTCGATTAATAAATCAATGGTGTAAGTAAGTTATAGTGCTTCAATCAATTAATAGCATGTGTACTGCTAAATCGACTTGACTGCTGATACTGATATATGTAGGCTCCTTCCATGTGTTACACATTTCATAAGATAAGTATAATACCCTTCCACGTGGGTATACATAAAAAGAGTTCAGGCTAAAAACAAAAAAAAAAACAAAAAAGAATCCACAAGAAAAGAAAAAGAAAAAACCGCAGACATGTTGTGTTGTTGGTTGCCTGGAAAAGGCAGCCTGAAAGAAAATGAAATTTGCTAAAGCAATGCAAGAGGATGGTGCTGGAGGAGGGGGGGATGGGAAGTAGTGTAGCTCCTGCTACAGCTCAGCTGTTTGTGTGGCACTCCGGCTGCTGCTGCTTGTTGTTGTCCCCAAATGGCATTTAGCATTTGACTTAAACGCGGCTGCTGCTCCTGACTAGCGGCTGTGGCAAGTTTGTCAAGCAGCAGTGCAAAGGTGGAGGAGTGGGGGGCGGAGGCAGCAGCGACAACCTGCTGAGTTAAAGCCAGAGACCAGGCAACATATGTTTGCAGAGTGTATGTGTGTGTGTGTGTGTGTGTGTGTGTGCGTGTGTGTTTGCTTGTGATTTCATGTTAAGAACGTCTGATACCCTTTACAGCATGCTCAGACTTGCCCTGCCGCTGCCCCTCTGCATGCCCCTTGTCTTGGTGCGCTCCTCTTGGTTTTGCTCTTTGTTTGCACTGGCTGGCCACAGACTACCCACTCCACTGGCAAAACCGCCTCCCCGCCCGGACTGCCACCACTTTGCAGCAGTCAGGCAACTATTAAGTCACATGTTTGTCTCTCTTCTACCCGACTTTTGAGTTATGACTTTTTGGGTCGGAGGCATCCTTTGGAGCCAAGTCGGAAACCCAGTTTAACCTGAATTTCCACATTAGTTTCTTTAGAGGCGTGTCGTGGCAAGGCAAGGCGAGGCGAGTGAAGTCGAGACATTGCAGCACGTCGCGTTGCGTCTCTCTTTTGCCTTTTGGCTTTATTTGCCTTTGTTTTTATAGCCTTTTTCTGCCAGGTAAACAATATGTGTGCAGCAGCTTGTGGCAGTTGCTGCAAGTCAAACGTGCAACATCATATGGTCCAGTGGCAAAGGCCTCTTGCTCTGTATGTCTGTGTGTATGTGTGTGCGTGTGTGTGTGTGTGGGCAGTTGCCACTGACTCATCTACTGACTGGCTGCTGCCAGGCTCAGCTTCATTATGCGCCTGTTGCCTCTCGCCGCCTGTCACTTGCCCCTTGTCTGCTGGATTCAGCCACCCGCCTCTCACCTGTTGCCATTCTCCATTATTTGTCTCTTTGTTCTGAGCTTCAGCATGGGGCGCTTCTTTGCTTTATTACTTTGGCCTGCGGGCAGTGTTGCAACAAAAGGATTTCTTATTTATAAGGCGACGTTTGCTACGTGCCACAGCTGCGCGGCACAGGCCCAACTATGCGACGCACTGTGACACAATATGACAGCGTAGAACTTTTTGAGTTTCATTTGATGCTCTGACAAGACGCTAGACGCAAGAGGCATGGCATGGCAGCGGCATGTGGCAGCAACGACATCGTTAGCTTTCATTAGTCAAGGGCCGCACAGAGTCTAGACTCGCGCTTGGCTGGCACTTTTAGCAGCCAGTTTTATCTATTAGACATAATTTACACGATTTAACTAACTTTATCTGCTGCAACACACACGCACACCTTTACACTCAAGTTTTAACTTTTTCTCTCTTTCTTTCTCTCTCTCTTTTGCAGGTAAGTCGACAACAGCTCGCTGGCGGCAGGTCTTAACTTCAATTAGTCGTAAGTGCTGAACCAAAGGCAAGTAGCACTTGCCACTCTCGAACCCGCACACAACTTGCCACTAGCAGTGGCAACATCTTCCGCACTCCTCCTCCTCCTTCTCCTCCTCCTCCACCACCCAACTCTAGCTCCCTGCCTCCATCTACAGAGCAACCCCTTTTGGTTTCAGCGTCTCGCCAAAAGCTTCGCACGCTTTTCGCGTATATTTTATGTTTTATCCTCGTGAATGCCAAAGACGCGACCAAAGTTGTGCTAACTTCCTTGTGTGTGTTTGTGTGTGTGTGTGTATGTGTGTGTGTGTGCCACACGTTCCACACGCCAAACTCTGCCATCTCTGGTGCTTAAAATTGTTTTTAAAGCTGTTTCGACTGCATCTTTGAGTTTGTTATCTTTGTTGTTGTTATTGTTGCCACCGAAAAGTAGGCAATAATTATGTGCTGCCATTCGGTGAGGGCGTGTTTTCAACTAAGTTGAGCACTTTTTTTGGGGGCGTGGCAGCGCACATAGTCGCCTTGCGGCTTTACCTACGTGAGTGCTTGTGTGTGTGGGATGCAAGGATTAGGGCGCAACTGTACTGAAAAATAATATGAAATAAGTATAAGAAATAGATATATAAACTTAAAGTAAAAATTCCCTAAAATTATTTTTAAGTTATTAGCAGCAAAATAAAAAGCTTTATGAAAATCGAACAATTTCAAATTATATTAAGCAATATTTTTACATGTGCTTGTAATTTGAGTATTCACAATAATATAAAACTCTATTAATTTTTTGTTAGCGCATTTATCAAAATTACCGCAACGTCCCGTATTATTTAACTTAATGGACTGACGCTGGAAATAATTAAATTGAAAAACAATGCAGATATTGTAATTATACATATTTACACTTTATCAATAAATTCAACATTATTAAATGTGTATTTTAGAATTCACATACAATTTTGTTGTTGAGGGAAGGCATTCCAATCAATGCACAGAAGGGGGCTGATGTAGAGCAAAAACCCGATTGTTCGGTTATTAAACGTTTTGTTAAGTTATCGCTTATTTAGATTATTTATATTATGACACGCTCTGATATAGACAACATCTTAATAAATGTGAAATCTATTTATTTTTGATTGATATTGTCCTTTGACACTATCCTTGCCTTAAACAAATCCAAGTACTTATGCACTTATTTTAAAATTAGGGTTAGCGTAAAATCTAGTCAAGGAATTCTCGACAAGAAGCATGAATTGAACAGACCAAAACCTTACAAACTCTCGACGAGGAGCCGTCAGATTTAACTGGACCTTAAATATGTCTCGGTTTATGCGGACCTAGGACAAAATGCTTAACTGCAGTTTCTCAAATTCTATGAAATGTTTAAGTACAACACTTAACTATCTCTCGCATTCTCTTCTTTTATCAAATTCTCTCTCTCTCTCTCTCTCTGTCTATCTGTCTCTCACTAAAAGTACACGGTTAATATAACTGAAAGCAAGTCGCATATCACGACTCTGAAACAGCGTTTCTGACATTAAAATATGATTGCGAAATGTTTTTGGACTCACCGCATATCATAAATGTTGGCAGCCTTTATTTCTTTTCAGTTACCATCCCCCCCCCCCCCCCTCCTTCACTCCTTTTTTTTATCCCAAATGCTCCCTTATAAATATTATATAGTGTACAGAGAATGGACAAAAATAGTACAAAACTTTATGGTGTATGCAGAGATTTTTGTGGAGCTTTGCTTTTGTCTACTCAAAAATTCATTATAAAATATCCATTACTCAGGCTACGCACATGCCAGCACACACACACACACACACACACACACCATCGCACATACGCGCGCAAGGAGTGCAATAAAAAGTGCGGCACAGAAAATAAACACTAGCAAAAAACTTTAGATATAAACTGTTCCGTTGCTGTAGCTAAAAAACAGCTCGGAATATGGCACTGTATGCCTGTCATCCTTCTCGTCCTTCAGCTCTGGAGTCTGCAACTAAAACACTTGAGAAACTTTCTCCATATTCATATAAGTTGGAGGCCAGCCGCTCGACGCTCTCAGCCCAAGGCTCAAGGCTCGTCGTTCGCTTTGGCGAGTTAGCCAAACAGATTCATTAGATAAAATAATAAGCACTTGCCGAGTCTAGCCGAGTCAACGTTGCGTATGAGCGTTATTTTCTATGCGGCTTTTTTTCCTCTGTGCCCAACGTGCCCACGCCCCTATTCCAGCCATTTTCCGTTGAGCGTTGTTGCAAATGCAGTCAAAGTTTTGCCCATTTTTCTTTTTTAGCGCTCGACTTTTGTTTTTGTTGTCGGCTCAAAACACTCGAACAGCAAACTTCAACACTTTGGCTGAAAAGCGAGCGGCAAAATGTATGTGTATAGGAAAATAAAAGGAGCAAAAAAAAAAATGTAGCTCGCAAAACTTTGCTACTTAAAAGCGCAAAACGCAACGCAATGCTCCAGTGGTTAGCTGCTTGAAGTACTTAGGGGGCGTGGCAGCGGGAAGCACGAACACTGCCGCTGGAGCCGGGGCAAAGTAACTGCGAACAAACCAATTAAGTTTATTACTTTTGCGTTTTTCAAGTGCCTCACTGTGAATGCGAGTGTGCATGTGTGTGTGTGTGCGTGTGTGTGAACATGAAGCTGCAATGTCAGTGCGTGCTAGAAATGTGCTCCTGTTGTGTTCTCATCGTGCGTGACACGAACACACGCCATATGACTAGGGATTCAAATCTGCGGTCTCTTTAAAACCTCTTTCTAGGGTGGTTGCATTCTCATTTTTTGCTTCAAGCATTTAAGCAGTTCACTTTATTTATATAGAGTTTTTCGTCTGTCAGAGAAAAAGGTCGTGAGACGACTAGAAAAAAGTGATAAGATTGTAAAACCCTATTTGAATTTCTTATAAGGCATGTTTGAAAAATCTTTCAATGCCATTTGTAAGCCATTTAAGCCTGTCTCAATACTATTTAGATGGTTGTAGGTCATTATTAGATGATTTAATAACTTTACGTTGTTCATATAAATATACCTTGTCTTAAAAATGTTGTTTAATATTATTTAAGGCCAGTTTGAAAACAGTTTTAAAGTTGTCTCTAAGCCATTTTGATACCGCTTGTAGAGCTAATGCAGCTCTTTTAATTATAATAGGTTTTCCCGAGTGTTTTCAGATTACAAATTGCTTAAGCAAGTATGTTTGACAAGTCTCAGGTAGAAGTATTGGATAAATTAGAGGCTTTTGCGCATATTAATTCCTTAGATATACATACATTTACAAATGTTCATATGTTTTATGCATGTTCATAAAATCTAAGCCAATTATGTTGCTTTGAAGATCGCAGCTTAGTTTTGGAAGTGCATTTATGCAATATCTAAGTTTTGCCTACGCTTCACGAATTTTTCTTTTCTTTTTGAAATGTTAAACTTGTCTTTATATCTTATTGTATCTTGTTTTTATCCGTACCTACTTGGCGAGACACGCCCATCTCTAACATGTGTGTTGTGTGTATGTGTGTGTGGTCGTAATGGCCAAGCATTTAGTAAGTTGCCAAACGCCACCCCTCCTCGCCTGCCCTGCCGCAAAAGTTGTTGCAAAAGTTTGACAAAGTGCTTCGAAAATAGCAGCAGCAGCAAACGCGTTGCCACTCATCGCCTGCAAAGCATGCAACAGATTTGTCAAGGAAATTAATAAATACCACGTCATGCTGTGCCCCCTCCCGAAACGCCCCCAAACCCAACCCCTCGGCCGTAGCGCAGGTGCTGTTTCGAGTTTCTGTTGAAAAAAAAAAACGTAGCATACATTTTGGGGCCGCGGCAGGCAATTAATTTCAGTCGTCCTTGCGTTGAGCTATGTGCGGCTATTTAAGTTGAAGTTTTCAAAGTTCCCGCTAGAAATATGAAGCCAACATTCTGGTCGAGTGGCTTATAATTAAGATGCCACTTTCAGCTAGTGCAACACCCTCCCCCCTCTCCCCTTCCTCACGCTCTCTTAGCATTTGAGCAATTAAAGCAAATTACAAAAGGCGACATTTATTATTATTACTATTATTATTATTATTCTCATTGTTATGATGATGCCATTTTCATTTGTGACCAGGCAACATGCGCTTTACTACACCCTGTGACCGGTTCTCTCTTGCTCTTGCTCTCTCCCTTTCTTTCTCTCTCTCCCTCTCGTTGTGTTGCTCCCTTGCTCACTCTTTTGCCTGGCTCTGTGCCTTTGTCAAGGTGATTTATCACTTATAAGCGCCTGGCACTCATTAATTTTTGATTGGGCCAAAAAAGGCAAACGGCAAAAGATGTTCGGACCCCAAATGGTTTATTTCGTGCCTCTTCTTGTATTTGTTGTTGTTGTTGTTGCTGCTGCCGCTGCTGCTGTTCCTTTCATTAAAACTTCATCAAATGGCAGCACCTAATGATGTGCCCAGTCAGAGCCTCCGTTTTCAGTGCCCGTATACCCTGTATCCACTATAAAACGGGTTTCTTAACTTACACTCTTGTGGCAAGAGAAGTTTTGCTTTAGAAATCCATTTATTGGCACAACTTCGGGAAATTAAAAAAAAAAAAAAACAATCTTTAGGGTATTCTTAAGAAAATATATAATTTTTTCCTTTTATACTTGATAAGATCCAGAAATTGTGAGCTTCTAGAAAAAAAGGTATAATAAATGATCAAAAATTAATAAAAATTTGTGATTTTAACTTCTTTAATTTAGTATGCAATGTTGTAAACATCAAACTACTTTGCTTGGCATTAGCTCAGGTTACTCCATAAAATATATTTTGTTTATTTTTTCTATGAACAGGGCAACCCTTGATCGTTCATTCACTCGTTCAGTAGCAATTTTTTCATTACTTCTGATGAAATGAAACACTCGATGCGATGTCTGCACTGTCGTAATGGTTCATTAAAACTGAACGATTGGCTTGACAAAACATTTGTCCAGCTGATAATTTTGTTTATCGAGCTGTTGACTCTCTATTAGCTTATTGTCTCGCTATGGCCAGGGCTGGCCAGGCGAGGGTTGCCATAATTCAATGTTGTCTTGCCTGCAACTGCTTTGGGCTTTAAAACCAACAGACAGAAAACTTTCAATAGATGACCGCAAAAATGTGCACAATTAATTGTGGCGACGCCGGCCAACAACGAATGGCTAAAAAATTGGCTACCAAATGGCAACCAAATGGCGGCGGCGTCATCAATGGTGGCAACCCTGGCCACAGATTTGTGTGCCCTCCGCTCGCCTATTCATATGCATTATGCGACGCACCGCAACTTGAACTATGTGAGTTCTGTGGCCATGATTGGGGCGGGGCTGGCCGGGGTGCATACCAAATGCTTTGCTGGCTAGTTTTTCGCTTCTTTTTTTTTACGCCCGGGTGACCGGTGCCGGTTGCCGGTTCCCGTACCCGTTCAAACTATGGACGCCGTTTCCGCTGACAGTTATTTTGATTTATGTGAAATTGTTGCAAGCGAATGTCTGTGCGTGTGTGTGTGTGTGTGTGTGTGTGTGCTGGTCCGCCGGAATGGCAAATGCGTGCCTGGCTCCATAGGAAAATGGCAATAAATAGCACCGTGTACGTGGCCCCTGACAACAAAGAACTTCTAGCTGGGCCTCCCCAAAAAGCACTCAAAAGCCCAACAACAACAAATTGTCTGCGCGCGCTGCGGTGTCAACCATAAAAAGGTGTTGCCATTGATAGCCTCACGTAGGCCAGGTCGTGGATAAATGATCAACCCTTGGCACTGATAGCGCACCAAGCCCATCAAAGGAGTTATGCATACTCGCATATATCTATATATATATGTATATATATATATATCATAGATACCTCTCAACTCTCAAAACAATGCCCAAATGTCAATGCAACATATTGAAAGATTCACAAGCTTCCTGTCAAAAGATTGAAGGCAGCGAACATGACTGGGGTTGCCACCTGGTCTGAAATTCATCGATATTTTTTTTATTTTTAATAAATCCCTTTTTGATAAACGACTTTAAATATGTATTTGACTTTGATTTCAAGCAGTTCCCATAAATCTATATCTTGTCAGTTTCTGATTTTATCATAAAATTATATTTTATCATTTCAACAAAAGTTGCGCTTCGCTTAACTCCTGATCAGAGCTCCCTTGTCTTATCTTAAGCAATAAATTGGCTTTTATGCAAACGAAGTTCAATTTGTGTACTTCTACATAAAGTTTTTCTCATGCTGCTGCCCTTGAAGTAGCATCCCCTTTGGCCGGCACCCCTTTTAAGTCTCTTAAGTGTCTGCAGCCACTTAGCAAATCCAACAACAAATCCAACGGCAGCCTCTTGTCTAATAACTCTAATGGCAGCAATAAAATATCCATATACATTTAAAATTAGCACTCGATTGAAGAGCTGTGGGGCAAGCGTGTATCATTGAGTGGTGGGTTGCAGGGTCAGGTGGGGGGTGGGAGAGGTTGGCTTGTGTGCGGCGACGGGTTAAGAGATCTACTGGGATATGTCATTTGCAGTCCACTTCTAGGCTAACCCATATGGCCAGTCCAAATGTGACCGCAAACTACATAAACTATAATGGCACAGTTGTGTGTGTGTGTGTGTGTGTGTGTGCGAGTGTGTGTACTGCCAGTAAACCAAATTGAATGAAATGCAGGAAAAAGGTTTCGTTGTGCAAAACAAAACAAAAAATCAGTGAAAATGAAAACGACGGAGATGACCAAACAACCGCACAAGCGGCGACTGTGGGTGCCACTGGCCGGCCAGCAGCAGCAACAACAACAACAACGACAACAACAACAACGTCGACAACAATAACAACAACGACAACAATAACAACAACAAACCAATAAAGACCACTAAGTGTCTAAATGTGTGTGTGTGTGTGTGTGTGTAAATGTGATTGTATTTGAAATAAACCAAATAGTCGTACATAAATGCGGGTGTCACAAGCGCCAGGCCCGTCGTCTGAGCCCAAAGCCGACCACCAAAGCTAGAGATGAGTAAATGTCGTGATAAATGCGTGCTCGAGATTTGTTAGCAATTTGAATGAAAGAGCAAACAGGGTGCACCAAGCTCTGTCAGTGCACAGTTAAGTTGGCTGCGCAAGTAAGCTGTGCTCTTATGTTGAATACGCTGTTAAGTTGATAGCGCTATTAAGTTGGCTGCGTCTGATCACATTAGCTGAATCTCAAGATCAAAAATCGTTTCGGAATGATTTTGAATCAACCGTGAATCAAACATTAAAGCACGTCACATTGTATTTTAATATATTTGCTTACATATATATTTATTAAAAATATGTGTATACCAAAATTGCAAGCAATTTTAAAGGCTCAGAATAAATTTTACAGTTCGCGCATCGTTCAGCTTTTATTGTATTTCCAAGAAATAATCGAACATTTTGTCTAGTGGATACACTAAAATTCATCCGAATTATTATGCTCAACAAAAAATAGAATTTAATTTAAAAATGGCCTAGCGAAAAGAATGTTATAATCGTCCTGAAGAGAAAGACTCTCCTAATCATTTGATGCTTTTTGGGATAAAACTTTGCCATTATGAATATATTCTACACACGATCTTTATTTGGAAACAATTGTGATTGCTCAACTGCAAGCGCTTAGCTCGTGTTAAACCCGGACGCAATTCCCCTGCAACATTGAGCTCGACGTAAGTCCATGTTCATCTCTATTGCATTGTCGTACATCATAAATTGCGCACAGGCTGCTGTGCCATGCCGGAGTCGCCCTCGCAAAGTGTCCCAAGCCACAGTATGAAACAAGCAGCGCATCAGTTTTCCGTTTCGACCAGCCACCCCCCTTTACAAACCCGTCCACCCACCAACCAACACCGCAATCCGCTACAAGCGGCAAGCCAACCGGCATAGCTAAACTTCCGGCCGACTACGGACTACGGACTACGGTCTGCGGCTACGGCTCTAGTTCTGGCTCCGGCTCCGGCTCCGGCTCTGGCTCCGGCTGCTGTTGTTGCTGATAAAAAAGTTTGCCTTTGAAAATGTCGATTTGAAAAGTTTGTCGGCCGCCGAAATCGGGGGGCGCGACCATAGTTTCGCCCTTTCCTGGCAACTGAAAAGCTGTTCCAAAGGCTGACGCTAAATGAAAGTCATTTATTTTTGGCGGCGGAGACGCATTTGGACTTCCATTTTTTTTTTTTTTGCTTTTGGTCCATTGCCCGGTTCATTGCCGGGCCATGTTTTTAATCAACTTGGCGCAAAATAGTTCGCGCTGGCCATCAGCTCAAGTGCCGTCTAAGGGCAAGGTCTGTTGCATGAAAGGATTCGCTGCCCCATCCCCGCTGCAGCCACGGCGTTGCCACCTAGCTGTCAGCTTTCAGTTTCAAGTACATGTTGTCGGCTTTGATTAGTCTTGTGTTTGGCGAGCATGTGATGAAAGGCGCTGCAAGCGCCAATAAAAGCCACAGCAATTGAGATTAACTGCAGTTCTCAAAAAATAAACGAAACTTTAGTGCAGCGGACGTTTTTTGATTTTTGTTTTTTTTTTTTAGGTACCTGAAAGTTCTTCAATGCTGGCTTTCACAAAAAGTTGTTTGCCCAAAAGTGGTTCATATTCAAGGTCCAATTAAGAAATATTATCAAAAACTACCAATTTCATTTTTTCTGGATTGCATTCATGAATGCAACATATTCACCATTTTACTTGGAATTTAGATTCGTCGTTATTGAAGCCATTTTAACCAAAGTAAATTTATACACTAACATATTGTTAATATATAAAAGAACTGCTTGATATTGATTATAACATTTATATAAAGTGTTCCCTTAACTCCTCTTAAACCACCTTTTTAGGCCTCCTTTCGAACCTGTTCAATGCCATTAAATACCCTCTTATTTTGGATCTTGCTGAACTTTCATTCGCAGCGAACTCAATTGCGCTTTTGAGTTTTTCTCTTTTATTTGCATTGCTTAAAACTGCAATTTATAAGGGATTTTTGCTGGCTAGCACGCCTGAAACCATGCTACAATTTATATATCTATATCAAGCCGACATAACACATGCGATTAGCAGCGGGGCGGAAATATGGGAAAATAGATGGAGCTGGAAAATCTATTGAACTGCATGGGCTGCCGCTGCAGTTGCTTTTTCCTGTCAACATATTTAAAACTTATTCAGGCAGCAAATAAATATTTACACGATGTCGGCGAATGGGCGTGGAAAATCCGTGCATAGCCTGACAAAAACGCGCATAGAAAATGGCCAAAAAATTCGGTGGGGGTAAAAATGCTGGAAAACTGTTGGAAAACTGAATGAATGAATGCATGAAGAGCATTTGAATGGTGAGACGAGAACGCTTTATCATTTGACGCTTGCTGCGCCCAAAAACTATGCAAATAATTCATTTGACAGACAGACGGGCAAACAAACAAACTGAAGGGGTAGGGTAACTACACAAAGGGGGCTTAGCTTGTGGCAAGTGGCAACAGCCAGAGAATGAGTCGACGATAAAGTGTGAAAATATGCAGCAGGCAAAATGGCAAAAGAAATTAAAACGAGCAGCAGCAGCAAAAAAGAAAACATAGTTTGCTGACGCTCAAGGCATGTGTGTGCGTGTGAGTGTGCGTGTGTGTCTGTGTGTGTGGCAGCTACGAGCACAGACATTGCCTTAGCTGCCTGGCTACGCTTGTCTCTCGTGTCTCTCTGCCACTGGCTGATACACTGGCAATCCAAAAGTCAGGCATTCCTGCTGCGTTGCAACCCCCTGCTGCCACCACTTCATCCCCACCCGCCGGCTGCACGTGCCACAGGCTGAAAGTCAAATGTGCAGAATTTGTTGGCCAGCT